ACTGAAAGAGAGCTTCTATTAATACTGTGGTCTAAGGGCATCCAGACCATTTCTATGCACACATCTCAAATGTATAGTTTTCTAAAAAATTTTTTTCACATAGTACAGTATGAACATCCTTCCATGTCACTGAAAGTTCATTTACCACATAATTTTAATAGTGGCATGATATTTTACAAACAGATTAACCAATCCTATACTGTGGACATCGGAGTTGTTTCCAGTTTTCCTCTATTAGAAGCAGCATGCAGTGAACATCTCTGCAGTTAAATCTTTGCAAACATGCTTCCACATGTAGAGATAAATCACCGCAAGATACAAAGGCAGAAGGCAAAAGTGGATGAAGAAAAGGGAAAATGGAACCACTGTTTCAAGTAATAATTAAAAAGGAAGCTTCGGACACCAGGGTGGCTTTGTCTGTTGAGTGTCCACTTTGGCTCAGGTCCCCATCTCCTGGTTTGTGAGTTTGAGCCCTGCATCGGGGCTTGCTGCTGTCAGTGCAGAGTCCCCCTCTATCTGTCCCTCCCCTGCTCGTGCTCTCTCAAAAATAAATAAACATTTAAAAAGTAAGCTTTTGACAGAAGGTGGGAGACTGGAAAAGGAGAGGCAGCCAGCAAGTCCCCTAAAAGATAAAGGCCACTCTGGGACAGCAACTGGTCTTGTGGAACTATTCTTAAGAACCCATTTGCAATCTTAGTCCTTGTAAAAGAGGTAAGACTGAGGTCCTTGCTTAAAGTTTAAACCATTCCCACAACTGTTTAAATAACTGAGGCACTGAAGCTTTAAGACCAAATGATCTTGATGTTTGGAAAAACAAGAACTATTCTTACTCTGTGCTAAGGAGCCATGGAAGTGAAATCAACCACCTGGTTGAGCAACTGTACAGAAAATAAGCAACAAAGTAGCCATAAAGTAGGTAAATGCCCTTCAGTGAGGAGAAAGTTCACTTGGTTTAACAAATTCCATACTTAGACTAGAACCATCTTTAGTCAATAACAACAGACATTTTTTCTTTTTCTCTCTGAAGACACTCTGAATATTTTAACTCAAGTTTTCCCTTTTAGATCTGCAATGATAGCTAACTTAATCATTCTGGGCTTATTTTTTAATTTTGCTTCTCTCTTTTCCCTCTCCTGGCTAGTCTTTTTGTCATTTTTTTTTTCTTTTTTTAGACTTGGAAAAGCCTGGACAAAAAATACATTTAGATTAGTAATTTCTTGTATTTTTTGATAGCAATGTGGAGAAAGAGAAGTGTTAGGCAAAACTGGAACTAAAAGCAAAATTAATTCTAATGATAGAGGGGAGTAAAGAAGAAAATTAGGCTGACTTACATTTACAAAACAGAATTTATGGTTTCTGGCTTTTAAGTCCATAAGGCTAAAAATAATGTTCAGCAGGAAAAACCAGTAGGCTGGGGAATCAAAGTCAGAAGATCTTGGTTCCAGCCTTAGTTTTGCCAACTAACTTTATGGTGTGACCCTGGGCCAGTCATTTCTTCATTTCTCTTCTGGGTCAGAAGTTCCTCACTTTAAAATCCTGAAGTCTACAGGCACCTGGGTGGCTCAGTTGATTAAGTGTCTGACTTCGGCTCAGGTTATGATCTCCTGGTTGGTGAGTTTAAACCCTGTACTGACAGTGCAGAGCCTGCTTGGGATTCTCTCTCTCTCTCTCTCTCTCTCTCTCTCTCTCTCTCTCTCTCTCTCCATCTCTCCCACTCACTGTCTCTCTTGCTCCCTCAAAGTAATAATCTTAAAAAAATTTAAAAAATAAAAATCTTAAATTCTGGGGCTTAATACAAAATTGTCTCAGAGAAATTCCTCCAATGGATAGCAATTTCTGATAATTATCATATACTTCTAAAAAGGCTTTTAATGGCAATCTTTCTTTTTTTTTAAAAAAGCACTTCGTTATAAGGTTTCTTTCACTAAATCTGCACACTGTGTTTTTATATTTGGTAACTTTTAGTTTAATTCATGTGGATTATTAAATTATTAATTAATGAGGCTTAAATCTGTAAGCTTTCACTGCACCGGACTAGTTAAAATGAGCTTTTTGGAAGAACAACCAGGTTTTGGCTCAGCCTATTCTCTATTACTTGAGTATTATGAGGTTCATACTTTATTTGCTATGTTGTCACTTTCACTGAGGTTTGCAAAGTTCTGTTCAGGTACAAGACTCACAGTGGTATCTAACAAAATCATATCACCAATGTATGTTGGTGGATTAATGAATAAATTTAGGTAAGGAAACAGCAATAAAAACTCAAGCCATTCTCACTTTCAATACTGAGAGGGGAATATGACAAGCCTCATAATAAAGGAAGTAACAGATAAAAAGGAAATCTTAAAGCTACTTCCAAGTTCTTCTCAGTGTTGGCCTCAGAAAAACTTTGAATATAAACCTGCTTACCTTTTCCTGGGAGAACCATTTTTCCAATACAAGAAACCAGATCCAGGCTAATCTTTGAGGGTTGATGTCCTGTCCACATCTGAAAAATGTAAAAAGAAAGAATTTCTGAACAAAGACTTTCTACTGACCTTTTCTCTTTTGTGATCCAAGATTGGGATTTCACTGCTCAGTCTGTTTTAAACCTAAACAGGCATGACATTGTACTAATGAGAAATTTTCAAATGTATATGATAGATCAATAAAACTAGAACCAGAACAGCGCTAGATTTCATTAAAAAAAAAAAAAAAAGGAAAAAAGTCTCACCCCTGCCTCTACCTCCCTATCTAGTCTTTATTATTATTATTTTAATTTTTTATTGTTTTTATTTATTTTTGAGAGAGAGAGAGAGAGAGAGAGAGAGAGAGAGAGAGACAGACAGACCATGAGCAGGAGAGGGGCAGAGTGAGAGGGAGACACAGAATTTGAAGTAGGCTCCAGGCTCTGGGCTGTCAGCACAGAATCTGACGCAGGGCTCGAACTCATGGACCGGGAGATCATGACTTGAGCCGAAGTCGGATGCCCAACAGACTGAGCCACCCAGGAGCTTTTTATTTTTATTATTTTTAAACATTACATAGAAAACCATAAAAAGCAAAGCTCTCTAAAGTATATTGTTGAAAACAGAAACTGAGTCAAGTAGTCTTAAAGAAAATAAGGAATTTCATAAAAATTTATTAACTCTAGGCTAAAAACAGGGTTACAGGAATTCATAAGGGTTTTTTCAAAGTTAGTAATTTAGATAGAACCTGGCTAGAACCCAAATTTAAGGGAAAAAAATCACCTAAGTTTCTACTCTCTACATACTAATACAATATAATATAGCTGCCAAAGTAAGGAAGAGTGAGGGAAAGACTAAATAGCACACTTAACTATTATACCACTAGCTGTTAATAGCACTGCCAGGAAGAGCTTCATTAAAAATTTAGATAGAGAACAGTGGTTGCCAGGGTAAAAGGAGGGTTCAAAATACAAAGAGGTATTCCCAGGAAGTACGGGAATTCTTTTGTGGTGATGCAAGAGTTCTGCAGCTTGATTTTTATTGGTATTACATGAGTCTGTGCATGGATAAAATTGCACAGAACTACACACATAAAAACAAATGCACATTAAAAAAATGGTGAAAACTGAATAAGGTCTGTAATCTACTTAACAGTAATATACCAATGTCAATTTCCTGATTTTGACATTGTACAATAGGTATATGAGATATTGCAATTGGGGGAAGCTGGGGAAGGTTACTCTGTATTTTTTTGCACATTTTGTGAATGTAAACCTTATTTATATAATTTTTGATATTTATATAATTATTTCAAAATAAAAACCTTAAGTAAATTAACTTCTAGTCTTTTGTTACAACTACAAAATCATAAGCAAGAAAAGAGCAGCGTTTGCTTTTCTGGAGGCAAAGAAAATGCTTTTCAATTCAGTTCCACCATCTACTTTTATGATAATAATCAAGAAATGGTGGTTTCAGGCACACTTTGCTGTCCAGGATTAAATGCTGGTTCAGATGATAATTCAAAGCCAACACCGATTAATAAACATGTATCATACAGGTAAATTTTCAGAGCATGTGAAATACACTCTGCCTCTGCTAATTCTTCAGAGAGGAGGTGAGAGTAGGTGACCAGAGCCCAAATATTGACCTTGTGTCTCCCGCCCTGTAACTTCCTGGGAAGAAGAGACATCCCTTACCTCAGCTGATCTGGACACACCACGAGCGCCTGAAGTATATCTTCCACCTTCTTTGGGATATCCCCTTGCGCCTCGTGTAGCTGAGGTACACATGCCTGTGCCAGCTCCCATTCTCCTCTGCGAAGGCACTCACAGAAAAACCCAAAAAGCTGCTTCTGAGAAGCAATTTCCTCTTTTCCAAATGGATGATGCATTTTCCCAGCACAGAGTGCAGGGAGATAGAAAGAGATGAATTACGCAGAACACATTGTCAATTTTCTCATTCGTGGAGCGCCTCCTGGAAACAATACACACATTGAGGAGAAACGGAACGCACTACATTTAGACAAACTAGTAACTACTAGACTGGCTGGGAAAAGCGGGACTTACTTCCCTAATTATCGTTTTATGTTTGATTTGACGTGCTACTATCTTTTTTTGAGAAGTTCCACCTTTCCCCGAGGGGTGGATCCCATCTCTCTACACACATCCAATATTTAATTAAACTTAATAGTCGTATTAGCTCGGGGCGCAGACCCACAAATCTTCTTTCATATTCCCCACTTAACTTTAGACCCAGTCCGGCTCCAAATCCCCAGGTGGTCGCCTCCCTAAGTATGAGAAATGCAGCAGGAACCTCCCTAGTTTGAGCCCTCTCTTAAGGCGGAGGAGTGAAGATCATCAGATGAGTGTGTGTCAGAGCTGGAGGACGGTGGAGATTGGAGCGCAGGGACGCTCCCTACAGGGGTCGTGGTGAACGCCCCCACCTTCTCTGGGGCGCCTTACACTCACCTGCTCCTGGTACCCAAAGCAGTAGAGCTTCCAGCGCAGCCATGTTTGAGCCCAGTCAGGTGATAGATCCCATTCGGGAGGTTGCCGGAGGGAGGGGTGGTGGGACGACTGACAGCGGCTACTCCTATTGGTCAATGGAGGGACGATACAAATAAGGCGCCATATTTGTTTGGGTCACGTGACGCCACCTCTTCGGACTGGAGAAAGCTAGGACATGCGGAGTCAACCAGCTACCTGGCTGAGGATCGTTCCTTTCAGTTTTGACCACTCCTCTGCTCGATACCTTCAGTTCTGCGTTCAGCGGGGCGGGTGGCAGAAATATCAGTGTTCGTTGATTTTTTTCATGTCTCTTTTACTCCATAGCGTTTGAAGTCAGCTTTTACTAAGCGCCCGCCGGTGACAGTGTTTTGCCAGGCCTTCTTCCAGAGGAAGAAGACCTGGATGCTCCTCCATTGCTATTTTATCCACTTGGGTTCTGTTATAATCGCAGAATCCTGCGTTCTGAATTCCCATTTTCTGCCTAACCCCATTGATTTATTTGCTCACTTACCCGACAGTCGTTAATTGAACGGTGTCCTAGGCCCTACTTTTCAGGCTGAATAAGTTGCAGACCCTGTCCTCGAGTTCACAGTCTAATAACAAGTGCAGGTAAGTAATTAGAATACAGTAGGCTAAATTATAAGATGGAAGTATGCACTGAAGAGCTGAGAGCAAAGGACGAGCAAAAACTTTTTCGGAAATACAGAACTGTAATCTGAAACCCAGTCTTAAAGTAACAGTTCCCTTTTACACCGAAACTTCGGTGGTTCCCCTCATGGTCTTAAACTACAGGCTCTTAACGTTTCCCCATTGTGTGTTTTCAGCTTGAGCAATTTCATTAAGTATTTCCAAACTATTTCACCTCCAAAGTGTGGTGAAAAAAGCAAACCCAAACCAATCCCAGCTCTCTTCCAAACCTCTTCTACTATAGGTGAATTCTTAACTATTCTCTGAAAACTAACATGTCTTTCTGGTCCATTATGCATTTTTTAAATGTAGTGACAAAAAAAAATAAAAGAGACAATTCCAAGCAAGGTTTTTACTGGCTTAGTTTTCTCCTTGCAGATGTTTCTTTACCTGATTTTGATAATCATTATATTGAGAAACGGATTCAGTGACGGATTCTGGTGTGAACTACAATTCCCAGCAAGCAGTGGAATCAACCTGGGACTCTTCCTACCTCTGATTGGATATTTCTTTCGAGTGACAGCCCAATCGGCATTTGGGTTGTTGCTTTGCGGCGCTTTCCGCGGGGAACTGTGAGGGGTGGGGGAAACTTTGAAAGTTGGATGCTACAGACCCGGTACTGCAAAGATTCGTGTGGGGGGACATTCGGGGGGGGGGTAATGGGGTGCGCTCATTATTTCCTGCCCCCTCTCTGGGCCCCTTTCTGTGTTATTACTTTCGGGGTAGCGGAGAAAACCTCTTTGGTCCAGTACACTCCCCCCTTAGGCCTGAGGCATGATAACGGGAACTCCGCCGCAAATATGGGGGCTCTTGGCCTTCTTTTGTGGGGGATGCTGGAACTGTGCTCCTTGCTGGAAAAAAGTTCTTTTTAGGGGATTCTAGAGTGACGTTTTCGCCTCTTGATGCCCACCTCCGCCCTCCCATTTGCCGGCTGTTGGGAGTCTCGGCGGGGGAGCCGGTCCTTAAGGGAACATTGGGGTCCGCTCGCCTGTGGTGTTGAAGAAGAGTAGTTAAAGCGTGGAATCTGGAGTTCTATGTCTAGATTCGAATGCGGACTCCACCATTTGCTAGCTGATAGACTTCACGCGTTTTTCAACTCAGTGCCTCAGTATTAGTCTGTAAAAGGGGTCAAACATCGGAAGCTCTTGGAACAGTACCTGGCACGTAATAAGGGTCCAATAAATATTAGCTATTTTCGTTACTTACAAACAGTTTTCACTGAACATCTTTCATGAGGATTTTTACTTTGTTGAGGAGGAAAGGTTTCAGCCTTCAGGATGGAATATCTTCCCTCACCCCTGATTATATGTGTGCGCACACACACAGAGCAGGAATTTAACAGTCTCTGGTGGAAGAAACAAGCCGTAATAATACGTTAATAAGATTATGCAACAAATACGTATAAAGTATGATGAAAACACTGGGTTGGAAGAGATTGACTTGGGGACAAGGTTTGTGCAGGAAAGTCGAAGTCAGGATGGCGCTTGTGTAACCTACCAATATACTGTATTGTGGCTGGAGAGCGGATGAAGTGAGGCAACAAATGATGTTTTGCTGACAGAATTGATATGGTAATGGCTGTTAACCTTGAGCTCTGTGTGTGAGGCACCATCCAAATCTTCTAACCTTCACTACATTCCTTTGGGGTAGATATTTAAATGACCTTTGTTTTACAGATGAGGAATTGAAGACCCCAGGAGGGGAGGTAGCTGCCAGGAAGGCAGGATCTGGGCCTTGCTATCAGATGTATGGATGAGAGGGAAATGAGAGACCAGTTTATGAAGGGTCTTTATGTGATCTTAAGAAGTGTGGAATTTATCCCGTGCCCTAATGGTCCCATGGGTAGTTTTAAAGGATGAAAGTGACAGGATTGGAGCAAAGTTTTAGGTAGCTACCTCCGGCAGGATTGGAGCACTGACCTAACTTTCCCAGACCAGTTTGGTGCTTCTTCCTGGCACATTTAAATGCAAATGACGATACTTACCGTGTGACTGTGATAATTTGTGTATACGTCTCTTTTCATCTTTTACTGTGAGTTCCCAAAGGGAAAGCAGTATGTTTAAATGATTCTTTACACCAGAGCCCAGCAGCTCAGCAGAGTGTGTGATTAAGAAGGGTCTCCTGAAGGAGCAAAAAAAAAATTTTTTTTTTGATGGTGCAGGGAATAACAAGAGGCAGCATGCAATAGTGCAGGCAAATGATGGGAGTGGCCCTAAGAAGGCTGAGATAGCAGAGTTGGTTATTGTTAAACAAGTCCGGGTAGTTTGGGTTTTTCTTTTTGATTGAATGTATCAGCCTATATGGTGTTATTGCTCAGAACTACCTGATCTATAAAGACACTAAGAAATGATACAGCAGATATCACTTGGTAAACTATTTAGGAAACGAATCGGTACAATTCCCACTGAGGGAAATGAGAGGGATGTATTTTGTGCTTATGAGAAGAGTGTGTGTGTGTGTGTGTGTGTGTGTGTGTGTGTGTGTGTGTGTATGCGCGTATGCATAGGCTCATGAATGTGAGAGAAAGTGGGAGAGAGGGAAGGAGAGAATTAATTTGATGCAGAGAATTTAGATTTTATGTAGAAATTTGGGCATAAACAGGTTATCTACATTTTCAGTACTATGTATTTTGTTCCAAAATGTTACTCCTTTTCTGTTAACAATATTGCTTTATCTCCTGGAACAATGGAGTTGCTGTTTCTATTCTATCCGGAGGGTATCTTGTCATCTCAGCGAGATGCACAACCTCTTCTCTGCATGTGTTATGAAAGGAATCACTGTGATTGTGTTCTAGCTCACTGAAGGCACATATTTCATGAGTCTCATTTAGTCTTAGGTTCAGCAGTAAGAGTGAAATTTCTTGCATGTGAGAATGTGAGCAGCTAATACCAAAAAAAAAAAAAAACCAAAACACATTTCAGTTTGTAATTAAGACCTGAAATAATAATATCTCGTTTGATTCGGAGGTTTGTTCTGGCTCATAGAAAAAGGAGAGGTTAAATATGATTATGGACTTGTAGTAGGGGTATAGTGGTTAAGAGGATAAACCTTAGGGTCACTTCCTGAGTTGAAATTCTGAATCCACCATTTACTTTTTCTGGTGACAATGGAATAGCTAACATCTAGGGTTTAGTGTTCTCATAGGTAAAAATTGGGTCAATAATCAACCTTCCTTATAGGGCTATTGAGAAGATTAAATGTTATAATTTATATAAAGCTTTGGAACAGTGCCTCCTGTACATAGTAGGTGCTCAGTAAATTTATTGTTACAGTGCAATGAAAGTAAAGACTTTTTTTTTAAGTTTATTTATTTTGAGAGAGAGCACATGAGCAGGGGAGGGGCCGGGAGAGAGAGAGAGAGAGAGAGAGAGAGAGAATCCTAAGCATACTCCATGTTGATAGTGCAGAGCCCAACGAAGCTCCATCTCCTGAATCGTGAGATCATGACCTGAGTCAAAATCAAGGGTCAGATGCTTAACTGACTAAGCCACCCAGGTGCCCTGACAGTAAAGACTTTCTAAGGAGTGCTGCTTAGAAATATTCCTTGAAAGTTAATTATACATCCAAATAAAATTTATAAATACATTGAAAATCTTAAGATGTTATGCAAATGTGAAGTGATATCTTTATATTCATGTAATAAATATAAAAGAATTGTGTGAAATGCACATTCTTATGTTTTCTTGTTTGTGTGCATGTTTGGCAGACATAGAAAGATTCTACAGCTTTTATTTTATCAGTAATATTTTATTTTTTATTTATTTATTTAAAAAAATTTTTTTTTCAACATTTATTTATTTTTTGGGACAGAGAGAGACAGAGCATGAACGGGGGAGGGGCAGAGAGAGAGGGAGACACTGAATCGGAAACAGGCTCCAGGCTCTGAGCCATCAGCCCAGAGCCCGACGCGGGGCTCGAACTCACGGACCGCGAGATCGTGACCTGGCTGAAGTCGGACGCTTAACCGACTGCGCCACCCAGGCGTCCTAGTAATATTTTAAATACTATACATTTCATTTCACACATGAAGAAGCTTGAAGAATTTTTTATTTTGTAGTGTGTTTTGGTAGCCTATCTACTATTGCTTATGGTATTTTCTAATGCTTTTCAGGGTTCTTTTTCTGCTGCATCTGAAAGCATGGGTAGCAAGAAGCTCAGAAGAGTGGGCTTATCACAAGAGCTGTGTGACCGTCTGAACAGATATCAAATTGTTACCTGTCAGGTAAAATTTATTTACTTTCTCACTAAGAAATTTTGAGTGCAAAAATTTTTTTAAATTTTCTTATTTATTTTTTAAAATTTGCATCCAAATTAGTTAGCATATAGTACAACAATAATTTCAGGAGTAGGTTCCTTAGTTCCTCTGACCCATTTAGCCCATTCCCCCCTCCATTAACCCTCAGTTTGTTCTCCATATTTATGAGTCTCTTCTGTTTTGTCCCCCTCCCTGTTTTTATACTATTTTTGTTTCCCTTCCTTTATGTTCATCTATTTGGTCTCTTAAAGTCCTCATATGAGTGAAGCCATATGATTTTTGTCTTTCTCTGACTGACTAATTTCACTTAGCATTATACCCTCCAGTTCCATCCATGTAGTTGCAAATGGCAAGATTTCATTCTTTTTGATTGCTGAGTAATACTCCATTGTGTGTGTGTGTGTGTGTGTGTGTGTGTGTGTGTGTGTACATACCACATCTTCTTTATCCATTCATCCATCATTGGACATTTGGGCTCTTTCCATACTTTGGCTATTGTTGATAGTGCTGCTATAAACATGGGGGTGCATGTGTCCCTTCGAAATAGCACAGCCTGTAAAATAACAGGCTACTTGGGATGCCTGGGTGGCTCAGTCGGTTACAACTCTTGATTTTGGTTCAGATCATGATTTCAGAGTCTTAAGAATGAGCCCCTCATTAGGCTCCTGTGGGGCTTGGTGCTGGATGTGAAGCCTGGTTAAGATTCTCTCTCTCTTTCTGTCTCTGTGTCTCTCTGCCCTTCTGCCGCTTGTGCTCTCTCTCTCAAAAATAAAATAAAATAACAGGCCACTTAGGTTGTATCAAATGTGGTTTCATTTACCTAAATTCCTATACTTTTGCTTGGGTCAGGGGAGAATGCTTATGGCATAATGTGAAGTATACTCGTGCTATTTATTTGGGATTCTAGAGAAGTTTCGTTGAATTGAAAGAGATTTTGCAGTTATATGAGAAATAAGACTCAAATGAAGAGACAGTATTCAAAATGGGTAATGTCTCTTGCAAGCAAGAGAAATTAATAGAATCCTTATCAATGTAATGAGAGAAATGTATAAAGCAGATGTTGCATTTTAGGCACAGTAGTGAAGCAGCTCCCTCTTAGGAGGTTAAATAAGTTTTAACATTTTTTGTTTGTTTGTTTGTTTTGTTTTTAATGTTTGTTTATTTTTGAAAGAGAGAGAAGGGGGGAGGGGCAGAGAGAGAGGGGGACAGATGATCCGAAGTAGGTTCTGTGCTGACAGCAGAGATCCCGATGTGGGGCTTGAACTCACAAGCCATAAGATCATGGGTCGAAGCCAGATGCTTAACTGACTGAGCCACCCAGGTGCCCCTAGACTTAATGTTTTATATTAGGATTTAATCCTTAATGAGACAGATTTTCAGAGCATACTACAATTTAAAAAAACTGCTTTGTGTATTAATGGTATTTTTGGTTCCTCTATTATACATTTATTTATTTATTTATTTTTTATTTATATATGAAATTTATTGTCAAATTGGTTTCCATACAACACCCAGTGCTCCTCCCAAAAGGTGCCCTCCTCAATACCCATCACCCACCCTCTCCTCCCTCCCACCCCCCCATCAACGCTCAGTTTGCTCTCAGTTCTCAACAGTCTCTTATGCTTTGGCTCTCTCCCACTCTAACCTCTTTTTTTTTTTTTTTTTTCCCTTCCCCTCCCCCATGGGTTCCTGTTAAGTTTCTCAGGATCCACATAAGAGTGAAACCATATGGTATCTGTCTTTCTCTGTATGGCTTATTTCACTTAGCATCACACTCTCCAGTTCCATCCACGTTGCTACAAAAGGCCATATTTCATTTTTTCTCATTGCCACGTAGTATTCCATTGTGTATATAAACCACAATTTCTTTATCCATTCATCAGTTGATGGACATTTAGGCTCTTTCCATAATTTGGCTATTGTTGAGAGTGCTGCTATGAACATTGGGGTACAAGTGCCCCTATGCATCAGTACTCCTGTGTCCCTTGGATAAATTCCTAGCAGTGCTATTGCTGGGTCATAGGGTAGGTCTATTTTTAATTTTCTGAGGAACCTCCACACTGCTTTCCAGAGCGGCTGCACCAATTTGCATTCCCACCAACAGTGCAAGAGGGTTCCCGTTTCTCCACATCCTCTCCAGCATCTCTAGTCTCCTGATTTGTTCATTTTGGCCACTCTGACTGGTGTGAGGTGATACCTGAGTGTGGTTTTGATTTGTATTTCCCTGATAAGGAGCGACGCTGAACATCTTTTCATGTGCCTGTTGGCCATCCGGATGTCTTCTTTAGAGAAGTGTCTATTCATGTTTTCTGCCCATTTCTTCACTGGGTTATTTGCTTTTCGGGTGTGGAGTTTGGTGAGCTCTTTATAGATTTTGGAGACTAGCCCTTTGTCCGATATGTCATTTGCAAATATCTTTTCCCATTCCGTTGGTTGCCTTTTAGTTTTGTTGGTTGTTTCCTTTGCTGTGCAGAAGCTTTTTATCTTCATAAGGTCCCAGTAATTCACTTTTGCTTTTAATTCCCTTGCCTTTGGGGATGTGTCGAGTAAGAGATTGCTACGGCTGAGGTCAGAGAGGTCTTTTCCTGCTTTCTCCTCTAAGGTTTTGATGGTTTCCTGTCTCACATTCAGGTCCTTTATCCATTTTGAGTTTATTTTTGTGAATGGTGTGAGAAAGTGGTCTAGTTTCAACCTTCTGCATGTTGCTGTCCAGTTCTCCCAGCACCATTTGTTAAAGAGACTGTCTTTTTTCTATTGGATGTTCTTTCCTGCTTTGTCAAAGATGAGTTGGCCATACGTTTGTGGGTCTAGTTCTGCGGTTTCTATTCTATTCCATTGGTCTATGTGTCTGTTTTTGTGCCAATACCATGCTGTCTTGATGATGACAGCTTTGTAGTAGAGGCTAAAGTCTGGGATTGTGATGCCTCCTGCTTTGGTCTTCTTCAAAATTACTTTGGCTATTCGGGGCCTTTTGTGGTTCCATATGAATTTTAGAATTGCTTGTTCTAGTTTCGAGAAGAATGCTGGTGCAATTTTGATTGGGATTTCTATTATACATTTAATAATCCTCGGGGCGCCTGGGTGGCTCAGTCGGTTGAGCGTCCGACTTCGGCTCAGGTGATGATCTCACGGTCTGTGAGTTTGAGCCCCACGTTGGGCTCTGTGCTGACAGCTCAGAGCCTGGAGCCTGTTTCGGATCCTGTGTCTCCCTCTCTCTCTGACCCTCCCCCGTTCATGCTCTGTCTCTCTCTGTCTCAAAAAAATAAATAAAAATAAAAAAAAAAAATCCTCATGTTCGTACTTGGAAACACTCTTAAAAGTATGAGATTTAACATTTCATTCCATAGTCTGTTTTATTGTCTCTATTAAATACTTTTCCTGAATGCTGTCATAGCTCAGTAAGAAACTCATTTCAACCTGACACTTTCTGGGTACTTGTGCCTAAACTGCAGCACAGGGCAGTGTTTAAATTTTTTTTTTTTTTTCAACGTTTATTTATTTTTGGGACAGAGAGAGACAGAGCATGAATGGGGGAGGGGCAGAGAGAGAGGGAGACACAGAATCGGAAACAGGCTCCAGGCTCTGAGCCATCAGCCCAGAGCCTGATGCGGGGCTCGAACTCACGGACCGCGAGATCGTGACCTGGCTGAAGTCGGACGCTTAACCGACTGCGCCACCCAGGCGCCCCAGGGCAGTGTTTATATACACCTAGGTTGGAGGCTGCTGCTATGTGAAGTTACTTGGTGTGACCTCTGGTATATGCTAACTGAATTAGAGAATTAGAAGATAAGATTATATCGTCATATCTTTTAGTTAAGTCATACATGGGGGAAATACTATAAGGGATATATAAATCTTCAATCTGCAGTAAATTATGGGCAGTGTCCATTGAAAGTTTCCTTTTAATTCCAGTATCTTTGTTGCACATATATTTTAAAATATTCTTTTTATGTCTCTCTAGGACTTTTTATGTCTTTCCCCACTGGAACTTATGAAGATGACTGGCCTTAGTTATCGAGGTGTCCATGAACTTCTGTGTATGGTCAGTAGAGCCTGTGCCCCACAGATGCAAACGGTACATATACATATATACATATATATTTATATATATTATGTTTTGATTATGACTTATTTTGAGATGATCCTTTATCTCATTTAAAATATTTTTTTGGAGATGAGGCAAAATTAAAAATAGATATGAACATCTCAAAAATATTGATTCTTGGGGCACATGGATGGCCCCAAGTTGGTTGAGTGTCCAACTTCAGCTCAGGTCATGATCTCACAGTTCATGGGTTTGAGCCTGGCAATGGGCTCTGTGCTGACAGCTCAGAGCCTGGAGCCTGCTTTGGATTCTGTGTCTCTCTTCTCTCTCTGTCCCTCCCCCACTCATGCTCTGTTTCTCTCTGTCTCAAAAATAAATAAATGTTAAAAAAAATTAAAAAACATATTGACTCTTGGGGTGCCTGGGTGGCTCAGTTGGTTAAATGTCCAACTTCTGATTTCGGCTCAGGTCATGATCTCACAGCTTGTAGGCACTGATACCAGGAAGCCTGGTTGGGATTCTGTGTCTCCTTCTGTCTCTGCCTCTCTCTCTCTCTCTCTCTCTTTCTCTCAAAAATGGAGGAATAAACATTAAAAAAAATATTGACTCTTACACCATAGGACTGGTCCTTTAATGAGAATATATGTGAAAAATTTATGTAGTTTGTAAGCTCATGGGAGACAGTTCCTAAAAATGGAATGAGGAAGCAACAAGAAGTTTTTTTTTTTTCTGTAGCCAATATTGATATTTCAAAAGGTCATCTTTGTCTTTTATTTGTTTGCATAGGATTTGTGTATTTCACGGTTAATTATAATACACTCATAATTTTAGAATGCCCCTGTCTCTGTAATACCAACTTTTATTATCATCAGTCTACATTATAAAGCACACATAGTGGATTTACACTGCTCATTGATTGAATAAATAATACTTTAAAACTTTTCTCTCTCTTTAGAAAGTTAAAAGTCTTTTATAACAAATTCTCATCAAGTACGATTATTTCATACTTTCTGTGTCATAATGTTAGCTTTTCAAAATGTAGGTTTGGTGCGTGGTAGAAAAGATCTTGTTTTCCCAGAATAAGAGTGCCTAGAAGTCAGTGCACTTAAGTGCTTTGCAAATGTATTTATTTAGGTGGATTGTAGATTACTTACCTTACTATCTTATATTGAAATTTGGTAACCACTGAGCAATAAAGTGGAGTTCAATTCTGTGAAGTAGGAAGGAAGGGATGTTAGTGTCATTTGAAACTTCTGAAATTAATGAATAGATAAAAATATTTCCTTTTGCTCAGATTTAGCTTGTGATCTAAGAAAATACTTCAAAGCCAGAATAGTCAGAAGGAGAATTCAAATCAGAGTTAGGAATTGGCACTGTCTTAGCTTTGTCATTGACCTTGGAGCTTTGAATAGCTCACTTTATTTTATGGGAGAAGTAAGAGAACTAAGATAGTGATGATTCTGTGATGAGGTTTAAATTAACTTGTTACTATTTTGAAGGTTGTAAAGCACCAACAAAGTGTTTTAATTTGAGGTATGTCATTCTATGTGTTTGGTCAATACCTACGTCATGTTTCTAGTTAGAGAATTAAATAAGAGAGCATGGGGAGGAAATTCACTTCTGGGCTCCACTTGCACCACCACTTCAGCTGCGGTATCAATACCACCAAAGCCACCAAAAAGATGGCTTCTTGAGCTCGCATTTGGAATGCAGTGTCAATACCATTCCAAATGTGAGCTCAAGAAGCCATCTTTTCCCTTTGTTGTGCATTCACTCTTGTAGGATTCTTTAGATTTGAGTCTTGTGTTAAACATTGGCTTAGCCTTAGTTCATTTTTCCAGGGAAGAGTCTTTTGTTCAGTTATATATTACTTGAATTAGTATTTATTGAGTGCCAGTCATGTGGCAGGTACTCTGTCAGGTCCTGGAGATATTAGAGTGAGCATGGTAATGTTCCTCATGCAGCTTACAGTCTAGTGGGAGAAGTCAGACATTAAACACATAATTACATAAATGATTAGTTGTAGTAATGATAAGTCCTATGAAGGAAAATTATAAAAAGCTCTGAAACTTAATAACAAGGAACATTACTTAGTTTAGGGGTCAGGAAGGTCTCCTCCAAGGAAGCAACACTTCAGCTAAAACCTGAAGGATGGATAGGGGAGAATTAGGCCAAGTTGAGAAGGGATGTGAGCAGAGAGGAGTTTGCAGGCAGTGGAAGCAGGAAATGCAAAGGCCCTGTGAAGAGAAGGAGCATATGCTTTCATGGCAGTAAAATCAGGCTGGTGTGGATGGAACATAGCAGTGAGGAACAGAGTAGCCTCAGAGGTGAAGTCAGAGAAGTGAGCAAGAGTCAGATCATGGGGCCTGCAGACCATGTAAAGGATTTCAGACTTTATTCTGCGTGCAATGAGAAGTCATAAAAGGGTATAATCTAATATGTATATTTAAAAAGTCAGTCTTGAACGTAGACAAGTGATTGAAAAGGAGCAGGGAAATATTGATGAAGACCATCTAGGTATCTATTCCTGTATTCTAAACAGAAAGTGATCGTGACATGGATTGTTAGTATGGTGTTAACCCAGATGGCATAATGTCAGTTATGATGAAAGATAATTTAGGAGGTACAGTGAAGAGGACTGGTGATTGTTTGGCTGTGAGTGGTGATGAGGTACAGGAAAGTGACAGATGATTCCTTGATTTTTGCTTTAGGAAACTGGGTAGTACCACTTCCTGAGATAAGGAATGCTGTAAGAGTGTCAGGCTTGAGGGAGGCATAATTTACTACTTGTTGAATGTGAGGTGCTTGTGAAACATCAATTGGAGATGCAAACAGGCAGTTAAATATATGGGCCTGGAGTGTGAAGGAGACGTCTGTAGTAAAAGTATGCATTTGGGAGTCATCAGTGTAAATATGGTAATGAGATAAGCATATCCAAGACCAAGTCCTGAGTGAAGTCTGCATTTTAAGATCAGATTAGATAATGATGAGTCTAAGAAGAAGCAGCCACCAAAGTAGAAGAAAAACTGGTGGAGTATCATAATAAGATACTCCTTTCTGTCTCATTTATGTACATACTATAATTTCTGAAGTCTTATTCTGTTTGTTCATTTTAGTCTTTGTGTCACTAAATCTATTGTGATTAGTGCATTTAACCGTTGCAAAGGAAATACTTTAATTTTGACAGATTGGGCTGCCTTTACATGTTTGATAAAGTGTCCCCAGGCCCACTGATGTTGCCTGATGATAGATTGTAGACAATATTGAGGCATTTCTAAATCAGATGCATACCACATGATTTTGTTCTGTAGCTTTTCTGTTTGTTTTTTTTTTTTTAATGTAGCTGAATGTAGCCTTAGAAAAATGTGATAACCCAAGGTTTAACTGATCTAAGAATTTAATGGGTGAGATTACACAGGAGTCATCACATTTATAACTCATAAATATTAATATATTTAATATGCTGGTCTTCATACCTCCTCACAGAAGCAGAAGAGCCTTGAATTTGATATATAGATTTATTAAACTGTAAACTTTAAGTTGTTAGAAACTATCTGTTTGGTACTATTATATTCCCAGAGTTTATCATAGTATATGGTATACAGTAGGTACTCAGTATCTGTGGAATGAATGAATGAATGAATGGTTATAGTTCTATGGCTTGACCACAGTTTATTTGGGCAATTTAATAAAATGCTAGTAATTTTTAACGTTATAAATTGCAGAGGCAAACATTCTTAAACATTGCTGGGTATGAAGTCACATTAATCACATTTGTAAAGGCCCTTTTTCAAAATAAGGTAACATTCACAGTTTCCAGGGATTTGATGTGGATATCTTTTGGGGCACCACATCTCAGCCTACCATAGCTACCTTCAACTATTCTTCACAGACCAACCTTGGTTTGAAATAAAAACTTGAGCATGTCATTCCTTGTTGCTCTCAGTATAGACTCCAGACTTCAACAAGGCTCTTTCATGATTTGTCTCTTGCTTATTTATCCAGCCTCATCACTTGCCCCACTGTGATCACACACCCATCTTTCAACCATTCTGAATGAACTCTTTATTTTTTGTGGTTTTTATTAGTTCCCATTTTTTCCCTTTCTTTGTATATTCTGTCTCTTTGGCAGGAACATGCACATTTCCTTTGCTTAACAGCTATTTCACATTTTAGCTCAGACATCTAGCTTTTGTATGAAGTCTTCCTAGATCACAAAATCTAGATCAGGTCTACTGTTCCTGTGTTTCCACTTTCTCTGTCACAATATCTCTAATAATTGTATGGTGACTGTCTGGTTTCCAGTCCTGGTTTCAATTGCTGGGTGACTATACATACTGTGAGGGCAGGGGTTCTGTCTATTCTATCATAGTCCCATTGTCTAGCACTGTCTCTGGGCATGGATTGAATATTTGTTTAACAAATAAAAGTTTGAGGAAAAAAGAGATGGGTTTGGGTTCCAGCTGCTAGAAATTGAAGTTTGGATTTGGTTTCTGTTTTCGAATAAACAGGGATATTGAAAAGATCATTTTCTTTTTCTTGTGTAGGCTTATGGGTTAAAGATGCAAACATCTGCCTCTGTCTCACCAGTGTTCTTAGCTACAACTCTTTCTGCATTGGATGAAGCCCTGCATGGTGGAGTGGCTTGTGGATCCCTCACAGAGGTAAAGGAGAAACTTTCCAAACCTCCCATAGACCTATAACCTTCAGAGCCAGGGGAAAAAGTTTAGTTGAAAAACATAAATTATTTTGTACCTCAAGGGCATGGTTCTCCACTCAGTACCTAGTACAGTTGCTTTGCAAAAATATAACGTTCGAAACATTCCTTGCTGACCACCTGAAGTCTCCTTAGGTTGCTGTTTCTTCAACTTAGAAAATGATGAATATTCAACTGAAGTGAGCTATTTTTAGTTTACACCGTAGATACATTTTGGTTCTGTGATAGGTTGTTGTGTTAGTTATGTTTTGTTGCACAACAAATTACTTCAAAACTAAGTGGCTTAAAACAATAATTAACCTTTATTATTTCTGTTGATTTGGGAGTGGCTTAGCTCATAGATATTGGTGAGGGATGCGGTATGTTGAAGTCTTGGTGGGGCTGGAGAATATTTTCAAGGGAGCTCACTCACGTGACTGGGAAGTTGATGGCGGTTGTTGGCAGGTCACAGTTCCTCTACAAGTGGTGTCTCCACAGGCTGCTTGAGTTCCTCATTCCATGATGGCTGACTTCCGCTAGGATGAGTAATCCAAAAGAAGGCAAGGTGGAAGTGGTCATGCTTTTGATGATTTAGCTGTGGCAGTTACACATCATAAACTTCTGCCACATTCTCTTCCTTAGAAGCAAATCATTAAATACAACTCATGTTCAAGGAAAGAGAAATTTGACTCTACCTTTTGAAAGAAGTGTCAAGAATTCGAGGACTTTTTTTTTAATTGAATAAGTGTGACATGTAACATTGTGTAAGTTTGAGGTTTTCATCGTATTACTTTAATACATTTATATATTATAATATTGCTGATACAGCAGTATTTACAACATTACATAATTATAGTACAATGTTATTGTCTATATTCGTTATACTGTGCATTAGATCTCTATGGGTTATTTACTACTCGTTACAAGTTTGTGCCCTTAAACACCATCACTCTTATCTTCCCACTGCCTCCCCCTGTTAACCACCATTTTACTCTGGTTTTTTTTTTTTTAACAGGTTTAACTTTTTTAGATTCCACATGTAACTGATATAGAGTATGTTTCTTTCTCTGACTTACCTCGCTTGGTATAATGTACTCAGTGTCCATCCATGTTGTTGCAAATGGGAGGATATCTTCCTTCCCTGTGGCTGAATAATATTCCATTGTGTATATATGCCACACTTTTAAATCCATTCATCTGTTAACGGGCATTTAGATTGTTTCTGTATCTTGGCTATTGAGAATTCTGCTGTGATAAACATTGGAGTGCAGATATCTTGATGAAATACTGTTTTCATTTCTTTTGGGTATATATCCAGAAGTGGAATTGCTGAGTTGTATGTGGATCTAGTTTTAATTTTTTGAGGAACCTCTATATTTTCCATAGTGAGATTGGAGACTTTCCCAAACCACCACAGTTCTTTTACTTGCAAGCTGCATTGGTGTGGTGAGTTGATGGACTTACCAGGATGCTCTGGAGGAACTTCTTGCTTAAGAGTTCTAGGGGCACAGATACTTTACACAAACTTCTAAGCAAGAGCAGACTCTTAACATTCTGATAGTCATAAATTTAACTGTATATATATATATTTGAAGATGGGGACTCTGTTTTAGATACTATACCTTATTTTATGCCCTGTATTCTGAGAAAGATTTAAAAATGTGTGTGTGCTATACTTGGTAGGTGCCTATTAGATAATTGGTGAATGGACCCTCTTGCACTGTTGGTGGGAATGCAAACTGGTGCAGCCACTCTGGAAAACAGTGTGGAGTTTCTTCAAAAAATTAAAAATAGATCTAACCTATGACCCAGCAATAGCACTGCTAGGAATTTACCCAAGGGATACAGGAGTGCTGATGCATAGGGGCACTTGTATCCCAATGTTTATAGCAGCACTTTCAACAGTAGCCATATTCTGGAAAGAGCCTAAATGTCCATCAACTGATGAATGGATAAAGAAATTGTGGTTTATAAACACAATGGAATACTACTTGGCAATGAGAAAGAATGAAATATGGCCTTTTGTAGCAATGTGGATGGAACTGGAGAATGTTATGCTAAGTAAAACAAGTCATACAGAGAAGGACAGATACCATATGTTTTCACTTTTATGTGTATCCTGAGAAACTTAAGACCATGGGGGAGGGGAAGGAAAAAAAAGAGAGGGAGGGAAGCAAACCATAAGAGACTCTTAAAAACTGAGAATAAACTGAGGGTTGATGGGGGGTGGAAGGGAGGGGAGGGGGGTGATGGGCATTGAGGAGGGCACCTGTTGGGTTGAGCACTGGGTGTTGTATGGAAACCAATTTGACAATAAATTTCATATTAAAAAAAAAAGAGAGAAAACAAGAACCTGCTGTTGTAGGGTCCTGCCACCAGATGGTGCCATAATCCTACTATTGTACCTAATCTTTATGCACTCTAGCTGGACCTCTGCTCAAATGAGTTTATAACAACAGTATTCTACAGTTATAAACATACTAAATAGCAAAAACTGAGCTTAAGAAAGATTAACCCACAGATACTTTATCTTTTTTAAGCTTTAGAATAATTTTTAATGCATTTTCATTTGGCTTTTGTCAATTCTTTCTGAATCCAAGGGGTAGTTAAAAACCATTTTGTCATGATCTGCTTGGCTGACTTGGAGCATAAATACTCAGACTGCTTATTAGGGGCAAGTTCTATATTTTCTGTTTCAGCTACAGGTAGCCTCTTCTGTTATTTTGGGATTTTTTTTTCACTGAGTACAGAGTATTTCTGTTTACCTTTTATTAACAAAATTTTAATGTGTATTTTATGTATATAGGAGGAACTATATCCTGCATGTGTAAGTTATGAAGCCTTATGACTCTATGACTTAATAAGAACCAGAACAATACTGACACTATTGAAGCTAACTGTGGGCTTCTCCCTGATCCTATCTTTGGCCTTCTATTGACACGTAATCTTTATCTTGAGTTTTTACCATTCCAATAATTTTTTCCTTATAGTTTTCTTTTACTGGATGTGCACTTAAATACGAGATATAAAAACAGTTTATTTAGTTTTATTTTTGAGCTCTATTAAATCATATATCTGTGATTAAATCCTATCATATTCTATGAATTACTTTTTTCATTTAATGGTGTTTTCTAAGATTTATCCATGTTGTTTCAGGTAGCAAGAGTATAATTCATTTTCACTGCTGTGTTATATTCCATTTTGAAAATAGGCCCCAATGTAGTTATCTTTTTTCCTGTTAGTGAACATTTGGGTTGTTTACAGTTTGGTGCTAATAGAAACAAGTCCTATGAAAATTGTTGTACATGTTTCCTGGATTGCATGTACAGGTATTTCTCTAGGGCAGGAAGTGGTAAACTACTGCTCAGTGATCAAATCTAGCTTGATGTCTGTTTTTATAAATAAAGTTTTATTGTAATACAGCTATGCTCATTTGTTTATGTTTTGTCTGTGGCTGTTTGCTTGATAGAAAGCAGAGTTGCATTAGGTGTGGCAAAGGTCTGATGGTCTGCAAAGCCTAAAATTTTTTTTTTTAATTTTTTTTTTCAACATTTATTTATTTTTGGGACAGAGGGAGACAGAGCATGAACGGGGGAGGGGCAGAGAGAGAGGGAGACACAGAATCGGAAACAGGCTCCAGGCTCTGAGCCATCAGCCCAGAGCCTGATGCGGGGCTCGAACTCACGGACCGCGAGATCGTGACCTGGCTGAAGTCGGACGCTTAACCGACTGCGCCACCCAGGCGCCCCAGCAAAGCCTAAAATTTTTAATATCAAGCCCCTGTCTAGGGTATCTATGTTGGAGTGATTTTCTGGTAATAGGGTATGTGCATAATGTAACTTCGCAGAATCAGGACAAATTGTTTTCCAGAGTGGTTGTACCTAAACAGATATATTCCTACCAGTGATGTGTAGGAATTCTTCTTGCTCCATATCTTCTTGCCTTGGTATTATCAGACTTTAAAACTCATGCCCATCTTTGGCATCTGTGATCTTAGTTTTCATTTTCCTGATTACTAATGAGCTTGAATATCTTTTTTGTTTTAAGTTTATTTATTTATTTTGAGAGAGACAGAGACAGCACTAGTGGGGGAGGGACAGAGAGAGGGAGAGAGAGGATCCCAAGCAGGCTCTGTGTTGCTAGCATAGAGCCCAACGTGGGGCTCGAACTCAGGAAACTGAGATCATGACCTGAGCTGAAACCAAGAGTTGGACGCTTCACTGACTGAGTCACCCAGGCGCCCTGAATATATTTTCATAAATCGTTCGGTTACGGTATTTTATTTTTTCAAGGTTTTTAACAAGTAATCTCTATACCCAATGTGGGGCTTGAACTTACAACCCCAAGGTGGAGAATCTCATGCTCCACTGAAGGAGCCAGTCAGGCACCCCTCATTTGATTATTTTAAAGAACAATTTTATTAAGGCACAATTTAAATGCTATAAAAATTCAACCATTTTAAATTGTATAATTCAACTAATTTGCTAAGTTCATAATAAATCATCACCACAATATCATTAGAACATTTCTGTCATTGTAAAAATTTCCCTCATGCATATGTATAGGTTAATTCCTGCTTCCATTCTCAGTCCTGGGTACCCACTGATCAATTTTCTATCTCTATATATTTGCCTTTTCTAAACATTTCATACAAGTGGAATCATATGTAGTCTTTTGTGTTTGGTTTCTTTCACATAGCATGATGTTTTTTTTTAAATTTTTTTTCTGTAATTTTTTTTTAATGGTCATTTATTTTTGAAAGAGACAGAGACAGAGTGTGAGCAGGGGAGGGGCAGAGAGAGAGGGAGATACAGAATCCAAAGCAGGTTCCAGGCTCTGAGCTGTCAGCACAGAGCCTGACGCGGGGCTTGAACTCATGAACCATGAGATCATGACCTGAGCTGAAGTTGGATGCTCAACCGACTGAGCCACTCTGGCGCCCCCTTTTTTAAAATTTTTTAATTTTGA